GGGGGCAGAGCCGGGCTCATTAAAAAGTGGGCAGAGCCGAGCTCAGGGGCTCAGCCTGTAATCCTGCGCTTTGGGAGGCTGAGGTGAGTAGATTGCCTGAGTTCGCGGGTTCGAGACCTGCCCGGGGAACTTGATGAGGCCTCATGTCTAAAATAAATCAAAAAATTAGCCAGGCATGGTAGCGCGCCTGTAGTTCCAGCTACTCGGAAGGCTGAGGCGGAAGGATCGCTGGAGCCCAGCAGGTCGAGGATGCGGTGGCCGGGAGCGGCCACGGCACTCCAGTCTGGGCGACAGAGTGAGACTCCAACTCAAAAAAAAAAAAAAAAAAAGTGGCAGAGGATACGAACAGGCACTTCTTAAAGGATGATATACAAGCAGCCAACACACACATGAAAGACTGCTCAACCTCACTAATCATCGGAGAAATACAAACCAAAACTACAGTGAGGTGCCCCTAACTCTGGTAAGGATGGCTACCATTATTAAGTCAAAAAACAACAGGTGCTGGCACGCCTCCAGAGAAAAGGGAATGTTTCTACACTGTTGGTGTATATGTAAGCTAGTTTGGCCTCTAGGGAAAGCAGTGCGATGATTTCTCAAAGAACTAAAAATTGAGATATAAATACTATCCAGTGGGTCCTCTCCTGGGAATATATCCAGAGGGTCATAAACTGCTCTACCAAGAAGACACCTGCACACACCTGTTTATTGCAGCACCATTCCCAATACCAAAACATGGAATCAACCTCGATGCTCATCAAAAGTGGACTGGATAAAGAAAATGTGGGGCTGGGCTCAGTGGCTCAGCCTGTAATCCCAGGACTTTGGGAGACCAAGGTGGGTGGATTGCCTGAGCCCGCGGGTTTGAGACCCACCCTGGCAACTTGGTGAAACCTCATCTCTACAGTAAATCAAAAATAAGCCAGGTGTGGTAGCACGCACCTGTAGTTCCAGTTACTTGGAAGGCTGAAGCAGAAGGATCCATGGAGCCCAGCAGGTTGAGGCTGTGGTGGCCGGGAGCGTGCCACAGCACTCTAGTCTGGGTGACCGAGTGAGACTCCAACTGAAAAAGAAAATGTGGTACATATACACGATGGAATATCATGCAGCCATAAACAACAAAACCACGGCCTTCACAGCAACTTGAATGCAGATGGAGACCATCATACTAAGTGGACTATCACAGAAACAAAGAACTGAATACTGTATGTGCTCACTCATAAGCGGACCCTGAATACTATCACACTAGCACGTGGGTGGGATCAGCAGATGCTGGACACTGCTGGGGAAGGAGGGAGAGATGGAGGAGAAGTGCAAATGGCAACATACTGTGCATCTGGTCCACTCTCAGGGGGAGAGAGGGCCAGTTAGAAGCCCAAATTTCACCTGCATGCAACCTGCTTATGCAGCAAATCCCCACTTGTATCCCACAACTCTAAAATAATAAAAGTAAAATAGAATAAAATAAAACATGATTAGGTTTTACTTATGTCGTGAATGCAGGAAGTGGAGAGTGGATTGGGTTCTTTGTTTACATGGACCATTCACTTTTTGTGAGATATTGATTGCAGCCTGGGGCAAACACTGAATGTGACAAGTGTTCTAGCTGAATGGAAGGGAGCCGGGAAGGACCACGTGACACAGACTTTCAATTAATTACCCTAATTAGCCCTCAATTCTGTCACCTTCAGGCTTAGGTGATTCTCTGGCACTCTGCAGGGAAGAACACATTCCCTGCAACTGCAGCTTTGTCCTGTGTGTTTTCTAGGCTGCAACCTCCTACAATCCCAGTTATCTATCAACTCAAGGGCATAGGCTTTCCATCTTTCAGAAAGTCTTTGACCTCTTTTCTTAGCTGGTGATTCAATTTCTTCCATTTGCCATGCAGTTGTGGCTTGATCTCACTGTCAATTTTCTCACTATTATTTAAGTGGAATTTCCAAGAAGAAGGTTGGTAGATACTGGGAAGCAGTCTACCACTTGGAGCTGGAACTTTCATAGCTTCAAAAACAGAACACCTAGCTACCAAGTTTTTCTTGTCTCTCTGGGTACTCAGAATGAATGCAAGTCACTCTCCATTTTCTCCCAAAGACTTCAAGCAGGTAGGAGTATTTGTTCTCAAACCATTATTATTATTATTATTTTAATTCTTGTGGTTGTAGTTTTCTTCATGTTGCCCTCATTTTTACCTTGTTGCCATGCTCATGGTGCTGCCCTATAATACATTCATTCTCCTATTCTCCTTGGCTGCTTCTGTGATGCAGTAGATTATCCTTAAAGTAAAAGTCAATAAACTTTGAGGGACTTTTGAGAGAAACTCCTTTGAGAAACACATGTGAGTTTTAGGGCGTGAATTTTGTGACATTCATTGTGTCTAGCTTTCGTTTGTTTACCATCACTGATTTGAGTGTATCTTCAGATAGTTGAATGATGCCAGATAAAGAGAATTCTGACCAGGACTTACAGGTTTGCTGTCTTCACTAGAGCACTATTTAAATTCCTAATGTCAATACCAATTAGTTGCTTGATATAGTCTGTTTCATTATTTTATTCATTTCTTAGCCATCACTGCCTGTCAATGAATCATAATTCAATTCACCAGTTATTTCACATAAAGATCATTGATAATCAAGATGTTGTCAGGCATGGTGGTTCAAGCCTGTAATCCCAGCACTTTGGGAGGCCAAGGCGAGAGGATTGTTTGAGCCCAGGTGTTCGAAACCAGTCTGGGCAACTTGGTGAGACCTCATCTCTATAATAAATCAAAAAATTAGCTGGGTGTGGTGGCGCATGACTGTAGTTCCAGCTACTTGGAAGGCTGAGGTGGAAGGATCGCCCAAGGCCAGCAGGTCGAGGCTGCGGTGGCCGGGAGTGGCCACTGCACTCCAGTCTGGGCGACAGAGTGAGACTCCAACTCAATAACAAAATAAAAAGACAATGTTATACTTAAGTTAATTGATAGTCAATAATTAATTTATTAATATGGATTCGTCAGCTAATGTGTGATTGTTTTTTCCTGTCTCTAATTTTACAGATATAATGGTAAATTGCCAAACACTCACGGATATTATTTTAAAAAATACTCTAGGACTCCACACAGTCATTTCATAGGAAGAAAATTTATTTCATGTTGCAAATGTAAATTTCAGTAACAATTCTTTTGATGTCACTTTTCTAGGACTCTTCAAAGTCCAGCTACTCAAGAAAAACCACATTATTTTTCAAGATATGCTATTACAAAATGTCACAGGAGAGAAACACATGACAAAAGGCAGCACATTTGCTTCATTTCATTACGTACAAGTGATTTTATGTGTTTATAATATTTCTACAAAGATGTGTAAGGATAATCCAGAATGGGCATGGCTGTGGAGAGATTTCAGGTGAGTCAGGTGGGGGCCATCTCTGGAGACCCATTAATCTCACTCCACAGACTGAAAACAACAAAGGGCTTTTATTTCATGGTGTGGTTCATGGGCACTGAGAAGCAGTGCTTGGGGATGGGGACTCTTGTAGCAGGAAATTAAGGGGCTACCGTGAAAGGTAATGCAGAGCATACATCTGTGGACAATGCTCGTATTTTAAGTAAGAAAATACTGCTGGGGAATAGGGGTTTTATGTTCAGTGATCAATAGGGCTGGAATGAGCTGGCAGTTTCAAGAGAGAAGAAACATCTCTTGACAGCTTTAGTATCATATTGTGGGCTGGAAACAGCTAAGTAAAGGAACCAGTCCCTGAAGACAAGTTATGTGTTTTGAAATGACTTTTCATAGTGAAGTAGTCATGCTAACTAACCAAAATTTGTACAACAATCTTTTATATACATACCAATCTGCTTTTGGCCTGATAATTACAGCTGCGTGAATCTAATAATTAGATGAGTAATCCAACCCAATATGATCACTTAATAGAATTTTTGGTTCAGATATCATAACCAAAAAGGAAGCAAAGGAAAGCTTTCCTAGGTTATATGTTTAGGCTCCAAAAAGAAGGAGACAGAAGCCCCACGAAACAGGAAAAAAAAATTCAACTTAGCGTTCTTCTTTCCCTTTGACATATGTTTTGAGGGAAAGGGACATGCCTAGAGTTTTAAAACTGGAAGAGGCCATCGAACCCTTTCATTTCTAAAAATTTTGTAGGCCCAGTGATTTGCCCAAAGCACAGTTAACTGGTATCAAGCCTGTTTTATTAATCAACAGGGGATTGAGTGTGCTCCGCCCATAATTCCCACTTACAAATATTTTCTACTGTTCACATCTTTTATGCTATGAGGCTAGCCAGGAAGAGCAATTTGTAGTTTGCTCTTGATTTCATGAGCTGAAATCTTGCCAGCTTTTCCAGGCAACAGAGCAGCTGGGTCACATCAGGTAGATTCTTGTGAAGAGATGAGTAATTGTTTGAGTCCAAAAAAACAAACAAACACAAAAACTCAGAGCTGAGCCTTTCCCTTCCTTCATGCCTCATAATAGCTATTCCTTGTATGACCTCTAGTTGTTGTCTCTTCAGTTTAAAGGAACTTAGACTCTTTGGTTCCATCAGGGAACATCAAGTTCAACTGAGCCAACATGGGGTTGATTTTGTTTTGTTTGGTTGAGTCAGGGTCTCACTCTGTCACTCAGGCTGGAGTGCAGTGGCACAATTATGGTTCACCACAGCCTTGACCTCCTGGGCTCAGGTGATCCTTCTGCCTCAGCCTCCTGAGCAGCTGGGACTACAGGCGTGTGCCACCATGCCTGGCTAATTTTTTTTTAAATTTAATTTTGTATAGAGATGAGGTCTTGCTATGTTTTCTAGGCTGGTCTCAAACTCAAGTAGTCCTCTGCCTCTGCCTTGGTCTCCCAAAGTGCTGGGATTACAGGCGTAAGCCACAATGCCTGGTCAAGGAGTTGATCTTGTGGTTACCAGCCAAATTGATAGCATTTGTCATTTGCTGAATCTTGAGTACACGTTGACTTAGTTCAGTTGACATTTATCGATCCTCTTATACAATGTCATCTCTGGACTTTGCATCAAGCTAGTCTTTCAGATATGTAGATTATTTTGATATCACCTGGGATTCAGATATGCTGGTTACCTCTCTTTCTTCTTGGAGGCAGTGATTCAATTAACACTAGTAACTCTCCAAAGATAAACTCTTCCCCTAGGAATTATCACCTGCACAAGGGTTAGGGCAGCTGTGTGTTGGGTGTGTCATGAGATTAGAATGAATGTTCAAGAAACCAGCCTTTTGTAAATTCCATACTGTTGTGATGTGTTCGGGGTCAACTTACAAAACTGTTTGCTTATACCCTTCTGAGATTTGGCCCTGCTTATTTGGGGTTAGATGGGAATTTTCATGCAATTCATAGACTTCTTGCATGTTGGAGAGACTCTGCCTCATGTCCTGGGTAACCTTTTGAATCTGAAAATCAATGCTGTTCTTTGGAGGAACTCTCTGACCCCTGTAAGCCTGGGCCTGGCGTTTACAGATGCCAAACTTGCTGAGTAGGATGAACACATCCCTTTGGAAGGCCTTGGTGAAAATCGCATAGAGGAATGGATTGGCACAGGAATTCAGTGGATAGAAGAGAACCAACAAGATTTTGGAGTTAGAAACGGTGATGAGTGGCTTGTTCATAAGTGCTGACAGAGCATAGAATGAGATTGGGGCCATACATATGAAGTCGGTGAAGATCAGCACAGCCATCCGTTTGGCGATTTTGGTATCTTTGTCCCCGGGGTTGTACTGGGGATTTCGGACCGTGATATAGATCTTCACATAACAGGAGCAGACGATGACAAAGGCAATTATGTTAAGCAACAGAACAAAAGCAATGTATGCCAGAGCAAGAGGGGTCTCGGTGTCCATAGGCAGGCAGATGCTGACCTTGGCATAGCTACTTATTCCCATCAAAGGGAGCAGGGCGAGAAGGAGGCAGCAAGCCCAACCCCCGCCCATGATGGCATATGCATGCCTAAGGCGGATCTTCCGGTCTAGGCGCATGGCGAAAGTGATGGCATACCAACGCTCCAGAGTGATGACCGTCAATGTGTATACGGACAACTCACTAGCAAAGACAGTGAAAAAGCCAGCTGTGTTGCACCCAGGGCCTGTCTGCCAGTCAATGGCATGGTTGTAGTACTCAGAGTGAGTGTAGAGGTCTACAGAGGCGATAAGGAGTAGGTACATCCCCATGCAGAAATCTGCAAAGGCCAAGTTGCACATGAGAAAGCGAGGGACATTCAACTTGTAGTGGCTGGTGAGGAGGATAAACAGGACAAAGACGTTTCCCAGCAGAGCCAGCAGACTAACAAACCACACCACAATTCTCAGGAACTTGTAGCCCATTATGTCTTCACAGGGGTTGAACTCATCTGACTTGGGGGTGCACACCATGTCTTCATTGTCCCCACACACGGTGTAGTCATAATGGCTTTCAAAGGCCTGAAGGGTCTCTTCCTGGGGGTTTTTGAGCTCCTGGCCAAAGCCAATGATCTCATCCTCTTGTTCTTCAAAGAAGACATAATAGTGAGAGTTGCTGTGGGTATCCTGGAAATTGGACTTTTCCTTGTACCCAATGCTACTGTCCCCTGGATCGTCTTCATACTCCTGGTAGAAGGGGCCATTCAAGGCATTCACAGATTTTCTCTGACGCAAGCTCCGGATACTGCTCTCATTACACATGAAGGACTCAAGGATTCTGCAAGGCAACAGAAATGAGTCACACTTGCTTAAGACCCGTTATGGTTCCCACACCAAATAGAAACATATGCAAACTATCTACTATGATATACATGATTCTACAACATTGTACGGGATCTGATGAGACCTGTCTCTATGACATCATTTCCTGTTATTTTCCCTCCACTACTGTGGTCCAGTGACAATGGTCTTTTTTCTCTTCTGCAACCATTTCAAGAATAGCCTTGGTGAGAATCTGGCTCTACTAGACTGTTACACCATGGGCAGGTCTATGAGGCTTGGTTATGCAAAATGGGACAATGGGAGTTATCTATTTCATATAGGATTGTTAAAGGATTAACTGAGTGTATCTTTTGAAGGTTCTTACAACAGCACCTGGAGCTTTGTGACTGCCATGTATGTGTTGGTTATTATTATTATTATTCCTGTTCAGAGCTCAAAACTCTGTTTCCTTTGCCTAAAAAATCATGGCTGCTGTTACTCATTATTCAGTTCTGAATTCAGATGCCCCTTCCTCAGACAAGCCTTCCCTGATCTCCTTAAATAAATTCTCCTGCCCTTGTGTTTATTTTCTTCATAGCACTATCTGATATTTCTAATTTTCTTACACTAGAGTAAGCAAAATGCAAAAGAGGGGGGTCTCGTCTTTACTATTCACTATTTTGGACAGGACAGTCCTAGACACATAGTAGGTGCTTGATAAATATTTGTTCAACAAATGAATAATGGAGATGACCATGCAGGCATGCTCATGAAAATGATTTAATTTTTTTGTAGCACAGCAGACTCATAAAGGAATTCTTTAACCTGTTTCCATTGCCAAGCAGATTTTGATTCATCTAACCTATTTGGAGGCTAGGGAAAATTCTAGACTTTGGACCTCAGCCCTGGTCCTTTCTACTCAGTGCCATATGGCATCAGTACAGAGTCTGCTATCATCATGCTCTACCTCCTCCCGGTTTTATCCAGCTATTATGCCCATATTGGCTTTCTTTGCATGGCTGTGCGACTTTCTGTTAGCTTCTGCCCCCACAACTAGATCCTGATTTTTTTTAGACTGCAAATACGTATTGAAAGTCAACTAGTAGAAGCTTATACAGAAGCTGAGGGGACTAAATAAGAGAAAGATGAAGGTGGAGTTAGGAGATTGCACAAGACAGAAGGGGAAATTATGCAGAGTAAAAGTATAGGTGAAGGCAAGGTTCAGAGAAAATGAAGGCCATTCCTTCTTTGCAGCTTGAAATAATGCATATCAAATATCAAATAATGCATATCATAGTTAATATTAATTGAGGGATTGGCAGTAGTGAGAAACTGCCAGGGGAGGAGGGGGCACACTTCATCAACAAAGGTACCTGCATAATGAACATTACTGTAATTCATGACCAGAAAGTCAAACAGGCCTGAGATTCCTGGGGAGAAGATAAGCCCTTTTCTGCTTGAGTGTGTAATCTGAGTGCCTTACATATGGCCACTGGTCTAAGGAGTGATATTAGGTTTCGAAGTTTATGTTACAGGGAATTCCTTGGAATTCCGGTATCCATCAGTACAAATACTGTTTCCACAGTATTTGCATACCTATACAAATACACAGGTACAACAAGGGTACCTGCATAATGAACATTTGTATACCTAATACTGAATCGTACCCCAAATCTTTAAAATAAAAAAATTAAGTAAATTTATTAATTGAGAGTGTATAATATTCCAGACCATACCATTCCAGTGTTTTCTATTCAGTTTCTCACTTAATCTTTTCAAAAATCCTGTGAATAATAGCATTATGATCTCCATTCTCAAAGGCTCAGGGGAGTTACATAACTAAGTCGGGATAACACAGTTAGAATCTGGCAGAGCTGGGGTACAAACCCAGTTCACTTCAAAGTCCATACACATGCAACCAGTGAGCTGTGATATTTGCAAGGCGCAAACGGATCAGGTAATACAATTGTTTGTGTTGTTTTAAGTCTGTCATCAGGTTGTGGCGTCTAATACTCCTTGCAGTATCTAATATGGGTTGCATCTGGAGATCAGAAATCATGTCTGAGTAACGTCTCCAAGATTCGACATGATCTGATCATGCCTGTCTCTCCTATGTCGTCTCCTCTTGCCTCCTCTGCCCTACTGCTATCCAGTGACACTGGCCTTATTTCTCATCAGCAACCGTCCTCAAATCCACAGAGACCTTGTGCCCCATAGATTCCCTGCTTCTTCTTTTTTTTTGAATCAGAGTCTCACTCTGTCGCCCAGGCTGGAGTGCATTGGCACACTCACGGCTACGGCAGCCTCGACCTGCTGGGCTTAGGCGATCCTTCTGCCTTAGCCTTCCAAGTAGTTGGGACTATAGGCGCACACCACCACGCCCGGCTGATTTTTTGATTTATTGTAGAGACAAGGTCTCGCCAAATTGCCCAGGCTGGTCTTGAACCCCTGGACTCAGGCAATCCTCTTGCCTCAGCTCCCAAAGTGCTCGGATTACAGGTTTGAGCCACCATGCCCGACTGATTTCCTATTTCTTTGTTTTTTTTTTGAGTTGGAGTCTCACTCTGTTGCCCAGACAGGAGTGCAGTGGCCTCGACCTGCTGGACTCTGGCGATCCTTCTGCCTCAGTCTTCCAAGTAGCTAGAACTACAGGCGTGCGCTACCACACCCAGCTAATCCTATTTCTTATAGATGCTTCCAACTCTTCTCTACCTGGTTTTCAAACCATAAAGCACCTTCCCCAAACCAAGAAATGAATCCAGCTTCCACCAAGGTTTTTTGTCGCCTGTTCCAAACCCCCACCACTTACCCTCTGATTTTCTTCTGATTCTTAAAAGCACAGCAGTGACTTGGATAAGAAAGGTCCGCCCGTGTAAGGTGAAGGAAACTCAAAGAAAGGGGAAGTTTCTTAAGAGTCCAAGTGTTTCTTGCTATCAGTTCCTTCAGGTGTTCCAGGCCTTTGGATGGCAGGGCAGAGACACTGGTATAAGACACATCCCTGGGAGGCAGAGAACAGAACAAAGCAGTGAGGAAGTGAGCAGTCAGAGTCCTGTAATTCATGGCCAGAAAGTCAAACAGGCCTGAGATTCCTGGGGAGAAGATAAGCCCTTTTCTGCTCACTGGTAGGAATCGACACCAGTCTCATGAAAATCTTTTAATGATACAGAACTTGAAAGCCATAGCTAGTTGCATCATGAATTCGTGACCTGGAAAACCTTCTCCCTCCACTCCAGTCTCTTGAGAAGAAATGCATTCCTGGAAAGTAAACTCCAGTATTTATTTTAACAGTCTGAAATAAGATTTAAATCATGTCTAAAAACAAGGGCGAGGGGGAGTGGTGGTAAGGGTGGGAACAATGTAGCCATCAGTGTTAGTTGTTAAAGTAGAATTAATCCCTGGCTTTTTGTGTGACATTCTCTTCTTTTCTTGTCCCAGAGAGTTTCAGTTCCATGTCTTGGTCCATCATTTTTAATTGCACCATTAGTAGCTTGAATAAGGCCATAAATATTTAACCTAATATTCCTCTTACATTTTATATTATGAATATTATTTTATTTCTTATAGAAGGTAATTACAATTTCAAGGATTTACTATAATTGGCAGTGTCTGATTAGCAAGTGAACTTCAATATTGACAGTTTCTTCCCCCATATCATTGTAGTGGGACTTATCTGGGATTTACATTCTCAAGGTTCAAGGCTGCCAGAATTTGTGACTTTTTTTTAAACAAACACGAAGTTTATGTATTAATCCCATGCTCACTACAGAACAGCGACTCCTGTGAAGGGAGAGTGTCGTGTTTGCTATTTACTTTGTATTTAATTTAAAAAATTCTATAGTTCAGCATTTCCCAAACTTGTGGCAAAAATTACCTTTGCGCTTGTTCCTATATGATCCCCAGGAGCTTTTTAACATTAGGCAAATACATTTGAGAAACCTGCATAAGTAAATAAACAACTTTGTAGTGAGTGAGAGAATTGAGGGACTGTTGAGACAGCTGTAAGCACAATTGTGAAGTAAATGAAACTGGGTTTTGCCCTCCTCTTGACCATCTCTTTCAGCCATGCTCTCTTCAAGGTGTGGCCTTCTTTGGGCTTTCAGTTTTCTGGAAGCAACTTATGTTGCTGTTTCCAGTGATGTTTTTGTGTCCGTGAAACAGGAGTACCTCTCTCAGTTTATTTCCAGTGCTTTGTTATTTGTGGGATACACCGATTGTGTATTGATATAGTATGGATGTTGTTCCTTCCAAATCTCATGTTGAAATGTGATCCTTAGCATTGGAGCTGGGGCCTAGTGGGAGGTGTTGGGTCATGAAGGTGGATTTCTCATGAATGGTCTGGTGCAGTCCTCACAGTAATGGGTAAGTTTTTGCTCTGTTAGTTCATGCAAGCGTGTTTTTGTTTGTTTGGGCTTTTTGGGTTTTTTTTTTGAGTTGGAGTCTCACTCTGTCGCCCAGACTGGTGTGCAGTGGCCGCTCTCGGCCACTGCAGCCTCGACCTGCTGGGCTCCGGCGATCCTTCCACCTCAGCCTTCCGAGTAGCTGGAACTACTCGGAAATTAGCTACCACCCCCGGCTAATTTTTGATTTATTGTAGAGATGAGGGCTCACCAAGTTGCCCAGGCGGGTCTCGAACCCACGGGCTCAGGCAATCCACTCACCTCAGCCTCCCAAAGGCGCGGGATTACAGGCTGAGCCACCAAGCCCGGCTTGTTTGTTTTTAAAGAGCCTGGTACCTCCCTTCTCACTTTCTTGCTCTTCCTCTTTCACCATATGACACACCGGCTCCCTTTCCCCTTCTGCTATGACTGAAAGCTTTCTGAGGCCTCACGGCAAACAGATGCCAGCACCATGCTTCCTGTATAGTCTGTAGAACTGTGAGCCAAAATAAACCATTTGTCTTTATAAATTACCCAGCCTCTGGTATTTCTTTAGCAACACAAAACAGACTAGTACATGTATGTTCATCAGAAAGAGTTTATTCTTTCAAGTAATGTGTTTGCATTTCAATAGCTATTTCTTGAGAAAACACTTTAGTAACCATTTCAGTTACTGTATGACAAAACACCACTAAGTGTCATAAAACAACAATCTTTTTTATCATGGACACAGGCTTTGTGGATCATGAATTTGAACAGGGGTAGTGGGGAGGGTTGTCTCTGTTTTGTGATGTTGGAGACTCAACTGGGAAGATTTGAAATCTGGTGTGACTTGAAGACTAGAGGCAGGGATTATCACTGGCATGTCTGGTTTTGTGGTGAGATGACTCGAAAGACAGAGCTCACCTGAGACTATTGCTATGGCTTCTCCATGTGGCTTGATCTCATATTATGGTGACCAGATTCTGAGAGAACTAGCAAATTCAAGGACAGAGGACATGGAATCCACCTCTTAATGGGGTAGTGTCAAATAATTTGATGCTTTTAAAAAAACTGCCATAGTGCCGGGCTCGGTGGCTCAGCCTGTAATCCCGCGCCTTTGGGAGGCTGAGGTGAGTGGATTGCCTGAGCCTACAGGT